ATATTTTAAGTGCCTTCTAGTGTAAGAGGCTCAACTTCTGGCTGGATGGCTGAAAATGTTCTGCTTCTGTTCATTAGGCATTCAGTATCTGACAGTGGCTTGATGTTTTGATATTATCCATGAGATATTGCTACTGTTGGATGACGTCTATTCTGTTCCAATTCATGCTGATGCTATGTACAACAGAAATAAACACCACCCAGTCCTGCGCCATCGTCACAGTTGTTCTTGGAGCCCATTGCTGCAGCCATAATGTGTCAATAAATCTCAGAGGTCTTCCTCTTTATCGCTGCTCTTCTATTTTAACAAGTGTGTCGTTCTCCAGGCACACGCCTCTCCTGATAATATGTCCAAAGTATGTGAAATGAAGTCTCGCCATCCTTGCCTCCATGGCATTGTGGCCGTATTTCTTCTATGGCAAATCTGTTTGTTCCTTTGGCAGTCCACAATACTTTCCATATTCCTCACCAACACCATATTCCAAATGCATCAAATATTATTCAGTCTTTTTTATTCAACGTCCAGCTTTCACATGCATATGAGGCGAGTAAAAATACTATGGCTTGGATCAAGCGCACCTCAAGTCTTCAAAGTACCATCACTGCTTTTCAACATTTTAAAGAAATCTTGTGCAGCAGATTTATTCAATGCGATGTGTAGTTTGATCTCGACTGCTGTTTCCATGGATATTGATTATGGATCCAAGCAAGTGAAATGCTTGACAACTTCAATCATTTCTGTTTATCATCATGTTACTTTTGTTCCAATTGTGAAGATTTTCAACTTCTTGACATGGAATTGTAATTCATACTAAAGGCTACAATCCTTGGTCTTCATTAGCAAGAGATTAAAGTCCACCTCGCTTTCAGCAAGCATAGCTGGGTTATCTGCATCTCACAGGTTGTTAGTAATCCTTCCTTCAATCCTAAGGCCACATTCTTCATGTGCCACATCCAGCATCTCTGATGATTTGCTCAACATACAAATTGAGTAAGTATGGTGAGAGGATACAAGTTGACTCACACCTTTCTTGATTTAAACCATGCAGTATTCCCTTTCCTATCCACACAACTGCCTCTAATCCACGTACTGGTTTTACATGAGCATAATGAAATGTTCTGAAATTCCCATTTCTCTCAAGATTATCCATAGTCTGTTGTGAGCCACATTCAAATGCCTTTGTAACGTAAGTCAACATAACAAAGCCAAGATCTACCTGATGATGTCCCTTGTTCTGTGTCTTCTTAATCCAAACTGAACTTCTGGTAACTCCCCATCAATATACTACTGCAGCTTTTGTTGGATGATCTTCAGCAAACATTTACTCGCTTGTGTTATCAATGGCATTTTTCTATAATTTGTACGTTTCTTTGGAACGGATACAAATATAGATCTCTTCCAGTCAGTTGGCCACGTAGCTGTTTTCCAAATTTCCTGGTACACACGAGGGAGTGCATCCACTGCTTCATTAGCTTGTTGAAACAGTTCAATTGGTATTCTATCAAGTCCTGGAGTCCTACTTTTGGCTAATGCTTTCATTGCAGCTTGGACTTCTTGCTCATCTGCCACCTCCCAAAATGGCTGAACACTGACGAGGTTCTCTCTGGCAGTGACACCATCTACTGTGGATGCTTCCTGCATCATGCCCTATTTGTCCACAGACTCTTTCAATATTGCAACTCGAGGCGTGAATTTTTTCTTTTCTTTTCTTTATGTGTAAGAGAGAACTTTATATCAAAGATCAACTGTACATTAAGAAAACATCCCAGCCCAGTTCAGATCAAGTCCATAAGTCCATTTGCCCATAGGTCGGATACCAATCTATAAATTCCTCTCAGACTCATGCACCACATGCAATGAAGCTGAGTGCATGAAGATCACAGTTCAGTGGGTGGGAAGTCTTGTGGGTCAGTAGCAGTAGAAACATCTCAACGCTGGCAGAGGTCCCCACATGGCTCCTCCACCTCCGGGGCTCCAGTGTAGCTCCATCTCTCGTCATCAGGAATACAGAGCAGAGTGTCTCTGTCCCGCCTCCAGAGGGCTATTTATCTCCCAGCACCTCCAAATGAGGTCATCAAGCTGCAACCTGATTGACAGGCTAAACTCCACCCCTTCGCTTTTTAAAAAAAATCATTTCATTGGGGGCTCATACAGCTCTAATCATTTTAAGATATGCTGAGTGTGTTCTCCCTTTCAGATGCTCTAATTCTAAGCAGAGTAGCAGGTAAATAAAAAGCAGTATTAAAGCAATAATGAAAGACTTCAAAACATTCATAAAAATAATCTATTATCTTTTAATTCTCTTTTATCATGAACATTTAGCAATTCCCTCATATATTAACTATGGCCAATGATTGCTATCTTCAATTCTTGCCACTTTAAAAGCTTTTTGAGTGATAAGAAATTTGAGTCATGCAAGATGTTGAGAATCATCCCATTTGAGGAAATACCGTATATACTTGAGTATAAGACAACCCAAATATCAGCCAAGGCACCTAATTTTACCACAAAAACGGCATTAAAAATGTGCTGAAAAACTGGGTTTATACTTGAGTATATATGGTAATTCTGAATATGCAAACCTTTCAGAAAATAATTTTATTTTTAAATTGAAATTTTTATTCCATTATTATTATTTTCATTTTATTATTATTCCATTACATCTAGCATTGTAGTTCTCAAATCAAATAGTTTTTTATAGTTTTGAGAATTTTTGGAAATAACAGGTGTACAAAGAATTTTGAGC